GCTGCACAGAGAGAACATGCAAACTCCACACAGAAAGACCCCAGGCGTCCTAACAGGGACGTGAACCGGCGACCTTCCAGCTGTGAGGCGACGGTGCGAACCACCGAGTCACCATGCAGCCCCACATTTACACATTCTTTCTTGATTTTGGTTATTTCAGAAAGCATACAGCAGCAACTGTGAAAAAGAAACGAACTGGTTTACTCACTGGGCATCGAGAAAAAAAGGCCACTTTTACTAATTAATGCTTCATGTGCCCAGTAGAGAGACTGATGAGAAAAATGAAACCGCTCTGATTGTTTCTCTCAAACCCAATGAGCAGAACTCCGTGTCAGATTCAAAAAAATGCCACCTCTGAGCCACAGCGGTTGCGTTGTTACGAGTCCTAATGCAGCCGGATGAATGCGCGGAGACACTCCTGTGGCTGTGGCCGCTCAATTACATCCCAGAGGTTAATTCACTGGTTAACATACGGGAGGGAGGCCGCCAGCAGTTCAGCGCTTCCTCTAACTTGTAGCCAACTTCAGTTTTTCGATTTATTTGAACTTGTTGCAGACTTCTAACTGATTCTCTCTCCAAAGACAGACTCCACCCAGCATCGAAGTCCGTCTGCTTCACGCCTCTGTGTGCAGGACACGGTCATAAATGTAAAAGTTTTGAGTTAACAGCGGAATTTAATTGTGCTAATCTGATTGCATTTGTATGAATATTTCCCAATTGTATTTAAATGTAGATGCTGTGGAGGAAAACAAGTCCACACACGCACACATTGCGTTCCGGCGCTGTTTCTTAGTGTGTAGTGCAGAACGAACACTTCAATCCTCATTATAAACACCCATGTCTGCAGAATGTATGTAGAAAATACAATTAACGCTTCAACACCGTTGTACAACTTATTGTAATTAGATATAAATAAATACAAGAAATTGGCCTTTAATTTAAAAATACAACAGAACAGAAGGTCTTTATTGTCCTCACGCATTTCTGTTACAGGATTTAATGCAATTACATTAATTTTGTCGCCCTGAAACATGAGCACCCTGATATAAATATAAATTATGTTCAATGGAATAAAGTAACATGCAAATGTAGTAAATGAACAGATATAAAGCAGTAACCAGTTCTGTATGATATATAATAAGAACAGAGTATAACATGTCTGCAGAGTCATTTGCAATGTTGCACTCGTAATTT